GGATGGTGGATCTGTATACTGTGTATGCATGAATGTACATGTGCACATTTGCATGCACACACAAACAATTGATTTACATGGTCAATTAACAATGATTTTGAATGGTTTGTCAAGCTGTTTTTTTGTTTTCTTTAATGTATAATATTTATACTAGAGCCAGCACAACATCAGCTGTCTTTAAACAGAGACAGGCTGGGAAAGACATTGACAAAGACAGGTGATGTGTATGTCTAGAGTGACCTTCTGAGTTACATCTTAACCTGCAGTGTTCTTTCTATTTTACTTCTATTTTCTGTTCCTGTATTTTCCCCATCCTTTTAGATTCAGATCTAACTTGCCAAAATCTTGTTCTATGCATGTTTGCTCATGCAGTTACTGCTTTTCTCTCACTTCTCTTACATTAATCAGATTTAGGCCCACCACAGCATTTGCTTGATATCCTAGAATAGGATGATTTGGATCCAGATTCAATCTACTGCTTCATAAGGACAAGATGACATTTAAATCTCCAAGGGTTTATTATGCAAATATCAAATATCGGGAGTGGCTATGAGTCATTGTGAAATTTCGTAAGTCTTCTTTTAGCTATAGTTAATAATTTATAGGTTAAAGGATACATGCTGGATTATGATCAAATCCTTCAGAAGAGAGGATGATGGGATGATGGCCTTTCATTATTTAGCATCCATTTATGATATCACCAAGACTTTTGGCATAGTTTTCATGCCCAAAATGTTTTTAACATCTGTGTGACTATTCTCTTTTTTAAGACTGTAGATTCAGTATTCATTAATCTCTCAAACCCCGATTGGCCCTCAGAAGCAGCTGAATGCCTTCTTTGACTAGTGCACAAAATATAATCTCAGAATAAATCATAAGAAGTATAATGTAATGGTTTTTAGTTCTAGGAAATGCAAGAGTTCCTGTTATGCTTAGGGAGCTAAGTTTAATGTGATGAAATATTTTATGTGGCTTTGCATTATCTTTCACCTAAATCTGTCATGCAAAAAGCAAAAAAAGCTGAGGATCTCAGCAACAATAAACAGGTTTGATTTAGAAGGGAATGAATTGATGTCCATTTTTATGCTCTGTCTACCTAAAGCAGGTTTCCAGATTCTCTGTTGTTTAGGAATGCATAATCCAAGATCGTAGGCATATTAAAATTGTTTCTGGAAAATGAGAATGACATTTATTTGACACAGAGTGTGCTTAATCTCTGTAAGTGAACCAAATTGGGAAAAATAGCTATTTTTTTAAAAATTTGGGTCACATTTATTATTGTTTCTGAATCTTGATAAGATGATCAAAATGAATGGACCAACTGGGCTGCAGGCAAAAAGGCCATGAGCATGAAATGAACAGTTACTGATGGGGTTTTCAAGAAAAATGGAATACACTGAGCTGAACCTAACCAGAATGCTAATACATATGGAAACAGGGCATAGAGATGGTTTAGTAAGAAAAATTTTATTTTGGGTGAAACATAAATGCAAAATATACAAATCCAAAAAGGGTGGCATCTTTTTTTTGGTTTAAGTTGTGATGAATGACAGGTGTTATCATACATGTTTCCCTTATAGATATCCTTTATTTTGGGTATCTTGAATGCATGTGTGTTTTGTGTTCATTATTAATTTAAAGGGAAATATAAGCAAATCTTGATCATCTACTTTTATGGCCAAATCATATTATTATGGATTACATGAATTTGACAAAATTTTTAGTTGGATTATAATTTTATTATGTCAAATATTAATGAAAATAAATATTAACTAGAAACTTTCCTTATTTTTAATATGGATTTTATTATAATGGAATTTATTTTAACGGCATTGATCTACGGAAAGCATACTCAATTTTCATTAACATTTAAATATTTCTTCATGTATAGCGAACAGGTCTCTAGTGAGAAAAATCAGAACGCTTGCAATAAAACTTCACTAAGTTAAGAAAAATACAAAGACAGACCATCAGGAAAATGATGAGAGGATCAAGAAAATTTGGTTTTAAGCTCTTAATCATTGATCAGAATGAAAGAATTCAAGTCAAAACTCTTTATATTCAAATGTAATTCACATTTAACTTATTACTTGGAAAATATTTCTAAAATTTGATGGAAATTAAATGTTATTCTTGAATTAGCATGTTCAAAAACTAGTCCATTCCAAGTATGTTGAAGCAGAATTTCTATGGTCTTGTAGCAAAGGGAATTTGTAATTAGTCTTAAAGTGATGGAGAGACTTAAGGAAACATGTAAAGCCTCAAAGAAATGGTCAAAAAGTGTTATTTCCAAGTATATTGTTATCCTTATAAGAGAGTTTAGAACTTATAGATAACCACATAATTAAATAATAAAATCCATCCTAATGTAAGACAAACCAAACACTCTCATAAGCCATTGGAAGTGGCGGCTTTTAAGTTTCATGGTTGCCTTGGATGCACATTTTCAGTCTCAAGAGTTTACTAATAAACATTTATCTATTTGGAATGATGTGAAAAACAACTAAAAACATACAGTAATGAAAATGATTTGAAGACAGTTGAAAGTTTAAATAGCGCCTTTGATTTCTATTAGAATGTCATAGGTTCTGATAATAGAGAATTCAGAAGGTTGGATTCTGATGGTTTGTAGCTCCTTGCTGGCATAGTGAAACTACTTTTCAGATATGTGTTAATTCTTACATTTCTGAATAAGCTGATGTGTTTATTACTGGCTAAACAATGGTCATTCATTTTCTCCCATATTTTCCTTTATTTTTTTAACCCAAATTATACATGTACATAGACTAAGGAGACAAAAAAGTTTTATAAAGTTTCTTATGGAAAACAGCAATGCCTTACTGCCCTCCCCAGAGGAAACCACTTTTAGCTGATTGATTTGGTACTTACCTTCCTGTTACTGAGTAGTATATGTACAATGCTACCTCTTGACTTTTAGTGTCAGGTATAATCTATTGATTTCTTACTGTTGAAAATGTGTTTTTTTGCTCATCCCTTTGATCTCTACACCTCTAACAAATAGGCTCAGCCTTTCCATCTCTTCACCCTCCCACTAAAGTTATAAGGTAATTATGATTAGATCAATATTCATTTTTTACATAATTGTTATGACTATACAAACACTTGTCACAGCTAACTGTTTAGTAAACTCTATTACTTTTCCTGTCTGGCACAATGTTTACATTTTCTATGAAGTGAAAAGTATGTAGTTTTGCTTGGTTTTTCTATGCACACATCACCTTTTCAACCACAGACTCTATGCATCAAATTCATATGTGACCTTTTTACTAAATGTGACCTTTTTACATTTAATTTAGTATTCCGGAAGCAGTTTTTCTTTGAACCCTCTGGCATGCTGTAATCTGGACTGGTTGCCCTCTATGCCTCATGACATAACTGTCACTCTGGGATCTTCTATAGCCACCATCCTGGGGACTCATCTTCTCTTCCTTGTGCTTTTGGCTGTTTCTTGTGCATTTAAAAATTTGTTTTGGTAGAGCACAGGCTCTAGGAGCTCCTTGAGAAAGGATGGGTAGGGGTAAAACTTTTGAGACTTTGTCTTGTATGAAATATATTTACCTTTATTCTACCTTATTGTGTGTTTGTCTTGGTATAGAATTTATTTTCCATCAGAAATCTGAAGATACTTCTCCTCTGTTGGATTTCTATGCTCCCGGTTTCCAAAGTTGCCGCTGAGAAAAGTCTGAAGTCATTTTGATTTCTGTTTCTTTATAGGTGAACTCTTTTTTCTCTCTCTCTGGAAGCTTATTGAATTTTCTGTTTGTCCTCAGTGTGCTGAAGTATCATAATGATGTGCTTTGACACAGGTCTGTTTGTATCCGTTACTTTAGGCATCCAATGGGACTTTTAACCTGGAAACATGTTTTTTAAATTTTGGAAATTGCTTTTAAAAAATTTGGAAATTTACTTATAATTACCCTCCCCCCTTTTTAGTTTTTAATTTCTGGAGCACTATTATTTTTAACATTGGACCTTCTGGATTGATCTTCTCATTTTCTTGTTATTTTTGTTTTTTTATTTAAAATTATATTTACTACTTTTCTTAGTTTCTGTTATAACATATGTTTTTCTGTATTCTTACCTGTGATAATTGGTGTCTAGAAAGGGTTTTTTTTCTGTCATTTGTTTTGTTTATAATTTGAAACAATTTCATTATATTATATTTGTCAGTTTGCCAGCTCAAGTACATTATGTCATTCCAAATTAAATGACCTGGAAGTCATGGCCATCTTTTCAATACTTGGTCCTACCTCTTTATTTGGGGGGTAGGGAAGGAATTTTTTAACATTATCTTCCATCATATTTTAACTAAGAGCTCTTTTGGTTCTCTGAATGTTTCTTTTAGTGTAATATCCTGCCCCCTTTCCCCACAGTGCAATATCTCTTCTTATGTTTCAATGAATATTAATAATACATATAATTTTAAACTTGTCTCCCCTTTGCATAGTTTGTTTCCTCCCTGTTGCTTCTCCTATTTTTTCTAATTTTCATGTTTCAGGCTTTCCGCAGATATTTGGTAATTCTAGGTGACAAAAAAAGCTGATTGGAAGCTTTGAGACATAAGTGGATCTTGTCATCTGTGAACCTAACAGTAGGATGACGTAGCTGAAACTTTTAGTTTTGTGACCTTTCAGTACATTATCTTGAAGGGCTTAGAGTCCCCAGAGATGGTTTGTCTAGTTCTCTGCCTAAAAGATAAAGGCCTAGCTGCTAGTTTTCTGGGAGCCACTAGGAAAAGACAGCTGGTGGCCTTAGTTATTGATGGACATACTCTATCCCTTTCTTTTTACCCTGTTACTTCTGTCCTTGACCCTGCAAGATGTCCCCAGTCCAAAGCCCTGCCTGTCTTATTCCTTCAAGAGAACATGCCTCCAGCATTGTGCAAGCATGAGAAAGGCGCAGCCATTTGGCTGCCTAAATCTGGGAAGGGGATTAAGGGATTTGATTGCTTTTTAAAACCCTCCTTATTTTAGCTCTTTTCTTCTCACACTTATAGTGGTATCTGATACTACCATATGCTTAGTCTTTTGGGGATTCTATATTATAAATCCAATGAGTTTTCAGCTTTCCTTGTTGCTAGTATAAGATTCAGTTTTCTGGGGTCTGTTAAGTCCTTTGCCAGTTGAACATCTGCTTTCCAGCTTCTAAAATTTTGTTGTTGTTGCTTCTTCTTTCATTCTCCCCGTGTTTGTGAGTTTATGCCTTGGGCGGGAAATCAATTTACTATTGTTTTAGTGAAATTTCAGAAGGGAACAAAATTAGATGTATGTGTTCAATCTGTGGCATATTGTATTTTCCAAAGATAGTCACAACAATCTCTCTTATTCCTTGTGCCTTTCTTTCAATGTGACTTTGACAATCCCTTCCATCAAGAGGTAGGGCTTGCTTTTCCTTCTTTTGAATCCTGATGAGCTTTTGACGATGGTGGAAGTGGTGCTTTATGACTTCCGAGGCTAGGCCATAAAAACCCATACAGCTTCTGCTGGTTCTCTAGGGACACTTGCTCTTGGAAACCAGCCATCGTAATGTGGAACATAGTGAGCAGGGTGGGCAGTTGTAAAAGCTGTGGTGGAAGAGAGAGACAGAGGATTTGTCTTTTTGGAAATGAGTCAAAATCTGTTCTTCGATTCTAGTCTATGATGCATTGGATGCTGATATGATATTGGAATTTATTCCTCCATTATAGCATTCCAGTGTTGGGACCATATAATTTGATTCTTAAAAATTCACTGGACTATAGACTTTCTATGAATGTCTTGTAATGAAAAGTATAGACCATTCTATAAGACACTGTTGTCCTTGCCTATTAGTTTGGTGGGAACACAAAGCAAAAGTACATATCAATGTTGAACAACAACACATTCAAGAACAATACATTTAAAAGATGGCGAGGTCTTAAAATAGGACATAATTAGCTGTCAACTTACTTGTTTAAATTCTGCACATTATTCTGTACTATTCTTGCTACCTATAGATACAAATCCCATTCCTTTCCAATACCTTTGCTTCAGAATTTCTAAACTATCTTAACACTTAAAATAGTTTCTCAGATCTCCCAAGCATCCATGTTTATAGATTCCTTGAAACCAACTTTTCTTGGCAAGCATTTTTATCCATATTCTCCCTGTATTATAGAATATTTGTATCCATTCCCCATGGCATTTCTGATTTTCTGTATAAATTATTCTGCAAAGCCAGGGCTCCTGAGGGAAAGGGCAATTTCTTTTACACATGGAAAAAACTTAAATGTCCATATTTGCTTTGGATAAATAATCTTTAATGTTTTAAGAGGAGGATGCACCACGTTGTGCTGGATCTCATCTTCATTCCCTAACCACCCAAGTGTTCTCACAGATTGTCCACCCCGAACATTAATAATTGTTAAAGAAATCCACACTCACACCAGACTCTTGTAGGAAATATAGCAATGAAGTCTTTCCCCCTGCAACCCGAAGTGCTTTAAGACTTTGGAAAAATCATGCAAGCACTTGATTTACTGCTAAATTCAAGTTTCAAAAACTCCAACTTAACCTGCTCTGCAGAATATTTCTCAGAGGTTCCCGAAAAGCTCACAGGTCTGCCACTGTTGTGTTTAGTTAGTAAAACATATAAGAGTAAATCAGACTTTAAGGATAATTGTGGGGTGAAAGCCCTTCTGGACTACTCTTCATTTATTTAGTTAAAAAATTTAAAAAGAATAAAAACATATATGACCCACAGAGATGCCTTGGTTAAAATAATCTTTTAATTAGCAAAGCGTTACTCTTTTATTGAGGATTTCTCTATCATTCTAGGGTAGTAGTACTCTATGAGTGTCAGAGTCACTGGGAAATCCTGATTGCTGGGCCACAACCCCAGATTTTTATCAGCAGCTCTTGGATAAGTCTAAGAATTTGCATTTCTGACAATTTACCAGATGAGGCTGATGCTGCTGGCCTAGGTAACCACACCTTGAGAACCCACTGCATTTGGGAACCCTGATACGGAGGGTCACTACTTAATAAATAGTAAAGACTGAGTAGTGTTCCATAATATACATATACCACATTTTGTTAATACATTCATGAATTGATGGGCATTTGGGGTTGATTCTACATCTTTGCAATTGTGAACTTTGCTGCAATAAACATTCAAATGCAGCCATTTTATCAAAAAGATAAAATGACTTCTTTTCCTTTGAATAAATACCAAGTAGTGGGATTGCTGGATCAAATAGTAGGTCTACTTTTAGTTCTTTGATGAGTCTCCATACTACAAACACTATATATACTCACCATAAGGGTGGTGGCGGGCACCCTCCCTTCCCTAGATCAAAAAAGAAAAGGCTCATGAGACCAGAGCCACCAAGGACAAAACTGCCAGGCCCTGCTGAGAGGAACCACACCCAGATATCCACCTGGATAAGAACATTTTGGCTCTTGGATTCCACAAATACCTCCAGCCCCTTCTAAAATCCCCAGCTCTTCCCGCCCAAAGTCCCTAGCCAGGCCCAAAGGGTATAAAAGGCCTCAACTCCTTCAAACAGTGGCGACTTCTGGGACGCCCCTTTCTTGGGGCCCCAGAACCTCGTCCACGAGTGTATAATAAAGCCATATGGTTTGGCCCCCACTCTTTCTCTCTGTCTATCTTTTCTTTTCACCACCGCCGAAAAACCTTACACTCACTATTAAATTGGAGCTAACCAATGAGCACACATGTGCACAGAGGGAAGTAAAACTCAATGGAAACCAGGCAGGGGGAAGGAGCAAGGAGGCGAAAACCTACCTATTGGGTACAATGAACACTATCTGGGTGACTGGGCACCCTTTTAACCCTGACTCAAGCATTACAAAAGGAATATATGTAATTAAAAAGATTTGTACCCCCCTAATACTTTGAAAATACAAACAAACAAATAAATTGTAAAGTCATTTTTGGAAGTTTTGATGCTTGCAATAGCAACAAAGGCTTCCTTACTTTGTGATTTCGTTCTATTGTGGTTTCTGTTCCTTGAGCAAACAGCTGGGGTCTCAGCATCATCCGGCAATTTGTGGCTGAACACGCCTCCACCTTGCAAAAAGCAGAAGAGGTTTAGCGATTCAAACAGTAATTTATATTATCATAATGTAACATGATGATGCAGAAGTTGATGTTCCAGAAACCACACCAATCTTGGAGTCTGATTGTCAAATTCGATACCTTATATCACTGGGTATTGGATTTGCTGTATAGTAATTAACTATTTTAAAGAGAAAAACAAATACAAAGTAAGAATATTAGCCTATGAATCCAGGTGTATGTGAACTATCACTTTTCTTATTTCATTTGAATAATCTTAGGTTTATCTCTGAGTCCCCTATTTCTGGGGGATGGCTGAAAATTCATTCTCAGTCACTTTTGGGTGCCTTCACCCTCCAGGTTTGGATGCAGTCCTCTATGATTTTCTGTCTCTGGACGTTGGTCACCACTAACCACCTATATGTCCAGTAGGCAGCTCTATTGCTGTGGTTCTCCGCTTGGCTGAATAATGTGTGCATTAAACAAATATTTATTGAGAGCCTATTATGTGCCAGACAATTATTAATTTTTGAAAATTACGTTTTATTATATAATATTTGACAGACACAAAGGAAAACCATAGCATCTGTGTGTACTATGAAACATAATAAAGTGAACAACCATAAAGAATTCCCAACTTAAGAACTAGGACTTATCAATACGTTGGATCTATCTGTGTGTTTCTTCTTTATTCAATCCACTTGCCTCCCCTACTCACCCTAAATTTTGTGTTTGCCATTCCCTTGTCTTAGCCTGTTTTCTGTCACTTATAACATAATACCTGAAACTGGGTACCTTATAAAGAAAAGAAATTTATTTCTTACAGTTGGGGAGGTTAAAAAGTCCAAGGTCAAGGGGCCACATCTGGAGAGGGTCTTCTTACTGGTGGGACTCTCTATAGAGTCCTGAGGTGGTGCAGGGCACCCCATGACAAGGGGGTGTGCCCAACACTGGGACATTGTTTCAACATTTTCTTAGTGTTTGTCTCTGGGGATTTTCATTTCAACTTCTTGCAAGCTAGCACTCGGGGATGTAAAACCTCATTTCTGAGTTTCTTGGAAGTGAAAATTCTAAGATGCTACAATCCATTTCAGGCTCAACTTCTAGGGCCCACTTACCTGAAGAATTCAGTACCAAGTTTTAGGGTTTCTTTGTCTTCTTTCTACCCATACAGTTCCTGGAGTTTAGAGTATGAAATCCTGTATTTTGTCCAGTTGGCTGCACCATGCTTTCCCACCTCATCCTATTTGCCACACTCAGAATCTGTTCTGATTCAGCCCTTTCTTAGGTTTTGTGAGTTTTCCAGAATGATTCTTCTCTCAGACAGATTTGACTTCTTTTGACCCTGTGGCACATACTGCAGTGTTATACAGCAGCTTCCAGTGTATTTTTAAAAAAATATTATATAGGGCCCCAATTGCATTGTCTTATAAATAATTGTGAGAAACCATGCTAGGTGACATAAATTGTTTCTGCAGTTCCTAGGATTTGCATGTAATTTGTGACACACAATTTCTTGAATGAGCTCATCTCTCTGGAAAATCTGTCTTCTGGATCATTAAGTCTTCAAATACAACATGGAGGTGGTGCATTGGGCAGGGATATTATGTCCCCTGCAGGGCATGCTGCATGCTTCTCTTCCTGAAGGTGTTGGCAGCATTCACACAGGTAAACATTTCTCATGGCTATGTCCAGTGTAGATGGAACTTCGCTGCTACCTATTAATTCTTTATTTGAGTCTGGTACATTTTCTCTTCCTTTCCCCTCTAATTGTTCACTATTCTACCCAAATCCTCTATTTAACTTCCATCCTAACCACTGTAGTTGGATGATCTTGTCTCTTACTTCATCATGAAATCTAAATGTAATCATAACCTCTTGCTCTCTCCACCTATGAACTTAAAGAACTATATGCCCAACTTTTCCACCTATTTTTTGATGGACATGATGAGTAGTTCTCCTTCATCCAAATCTGATTCATTCCTTTGACCCCTCCACTCCCACCTCTTTAGGGACTTGTCCTGCTAGTCACTATCTCTCTCTACTGCACTTCTTAGCTATTCAGGTCAAGGCTTGTCTAAGTTCAGGCTATTATAACAAAATACCTTAAACGGGGTAATTTATGAAAGATAGAAATTTATCGTTCACAGTTTTGCAGGCTGGAAGGTCCAAGATAAAGGCACCAGCAGATTTGGTGTCTGGTGAGGGCCTGTTCCTCAGAGATGGCGACTTCTGCATTCTCACAAGGGAGAAGGAGCAAACAAGCTCCCTTCAACCTCTTTTATTAGGGCCCTAGTCCCATTCATGAGGGAAGAGCTCTTGCAACCTGCTCACTTCTCAAAGGCCCACCTCTTCATGCCATCATGTGAGGGACTAAATCTCAACATATGAATTTTGAAGGGACACAAACATTCAGGCCATAGCAAGGCTTTCATGCACCTTCCTCAGTGAAGTCTTTCCTGTTTGTAAACCTAGAGCAGCCCAGCTGGCACTCCCCTCCACATTGTCTTGTATTGTGTTTTACCGCACATGGTATGTCATATTTATATGTTATTTGTTGACTCTCTCTTTCCTTACTTCTTTGAGAGCAATCATCTTGTCTATCTTGTTTATTCCCAAAGTCTCAATGCCTAGAACAATGCTTGGAACATAATCAGAGTTCAGTAAATATTGTTAAATAAAAAAATAGGTGCAATTCTTTAATATCTTTATTTTTACTGACTCTTTCCATCAAGCTTATAAATATGTACATTACTTTCCCATCTTAAAAACAGCAAAAGGAAAGAAAGAAAGAAAGAAAGAAAGAAAGAAAGAAAGAAAGAAAGAATGAAAGAAAGAAAGAAAGAAAGAAAGAAAGAAAGAAAGAAAAAAAGAAAGAAAGAAAGAACCTCGTTTGTGTAGTTTGGACCTAGTAAATCTCTTGTGGGACCTGAGAATTTTCATTTCTGTGTTCCTTGGTGATGCTGATGTTCCTGTTCTAGACTGCACAATGCAACACACTGGTTTAAAGAACATTTGATTTATCCGCATTTGCCTTAAAACTATGCAGCTGTTTCCCATCACCCACTGGGTTAAATGTAAGTCTCATATTATGTCACATAATGCTCTCCAGGATCTGAAGCTTTCTCCTCTACCAGGATTCTCTCTCCCATTTTCTGACTCCACTGGACTTTCTAATAATTTCAAACTACATATATATCCCTCATTCATTCCTCACCTGTATGCTCTTATCCATGCCCTTGTCACTCATCTTTTACACACCCTTTATAAAGGTATTTCAAGTGCTACTTCACTTTCTAAGCATCCATAATAGTCAGGGCACATTTCTTTGACTACATAGTTTCTTTGTCCATTCTCTACCCACAATAATGTTTCATTGACAGTTATTTGTGTTTATTTTGTCCTCTTTAAACCGTGAGCTCCCAGCAGAGAGTACATAGATCCTATGGATCTTTTTCTCAATCTCTCTCTCCCCCTCCCCTCTGTCACTCTCTTTCTCTCTCATATTAAAAAATGAAGGCTCATTTTAACTTATAAATTTAGAGATATATTTCTCACTGAGGGTGAGAACACAAGGAAATTACTGCTCCCATACATTACTGATCACATTGTAAATCGTCCCCATCCTTTCTGAAAGCAATTTGGCAAAGTCCATGAAGAGAGGGAAAAAAAGTCCTTCATATCTTGAACTTAATCATTCTACTTCTGGGAATGTAGTCTAAGGAAATAATTCAAAATATACATGAAGATGCATGCCACACACTGCTTATAATAGCAAAACGATGGGAAATACTGAGTGCTAAACACTAGGTAGTGATTAAGGTGCACTTAAATGATGAAATAACTGCATATTTAAATGATGCTTTTGAAGCTCATATGGCAAACATAAAGTTATATTTTGTTTCAGTGTTAAGTAAAAAATAAGGGTAACACATGTTAATATAAATTATGATTCTAATTATATTATAAGTTTTTTAAAGGGTCTTAAAGGAAATGCACTTAAATTCTAAGTTAGATGAGAAGTTTATGATATGACTTTATGATGTGGGTTACATTTTAAAACAAACAACAATGAAAACTTATTTTAAACATTTGTGCTGTTTCATCTTATGTAGCTGTCTTTTTAAAATTAAAAGGATGTGTCAGTCATGGTTACATATGCAATGCTCAGTTGAGCCTTCAATAAATAGGTTTTCTAGTATCTGTCCCTCTCTAAATCACTACAGGATAAAATTTTAGGAACTCAAAAATACAAAGAACCTATGACATTGAATAATATATTGATACAATGTAACCTAAGTTGCTTGCAACCCTCAAGAATAAGATGACTTTTTAAGAATAGGAACCTGAATATGTTAATAATGTGAAGATCCCAAGTTACACCCAAAGAAGAAGTCACAAGTGAAATTAGATGGATGGATTAATTCAAACATTAAGGCAAAGATTACAGATTAACATGGAGTCAGTATAGGATTGTGGTTAGAGTTCTATTTCTACACCACACTCTAGATTTGAATCCAATTTTGTCTCTTACCAATTAAGTGACTTTGTGCATGTTTTTAACTTCCTGGATTCTGTCCTAGTCACTTGGACCTGGGGAAATTCCACTGAATATCTACTAAGAAAGATCCTCTCCCCCAGTAAAATATATTCATGACAAAAATGATCTTAGGTTAGAATGGTGTGATGCCTGAAATTTGTTTAGTCCTCTGACCATGAGAGGAGGCATCACTGACCTAGAGAATACAGCAGAGCAGAAGGATGGATACTGTGTTTCCCCGAAAATAAGACCTACCCATAAAATAAGCCTTAGCAGGATTTCTAAGCATTGGCACAATAGAAGCCCTACCCCCAAAATAAGACCTAGTGATGGTCGTGGCTATGCAGCATATCTGCACAACCCATGCATTTTGTCACGGAGCGGTAAAGAAGATGAGCAGCCCTTCTCATCTGCCCCATCGTGATAGCTACTGTCCCAGAGGTAACCGGAAAGGTGCAGGCAGCCCCACCAACAAGGTCAGTTCCCCCTGTCAGGTCCCGGCCATCCTGTGCGTGCTGCAAGCTGAGGCTTTGAGGGGAAAATAGCACATCACCTGAAAATAAGACCTATGATGTCTTCTTGAGGAAAAATAAATATAAGACCCTGTATTATTTTCAGGGAAACACTGTAGTCTGTGTCCTTGATGACAGTATACCTTGAAAGATTTCCTTTGCATGACATAATAGAGATGCTTATCATTTAAGTTAGTTTGAATTGGCTATTCTAGTAGTTGCAGTTGAAACCACCACGATGTTTTGTATTAAGCAAGATAAGGGGTGAAATGCTTATTAAGGAAGTATATAGCACAGTGGTCAAGAATAGAGGTACTGGAGCCAGACTGAGTTTTAATCTGCTGCTATCAATGTAACCTTGGATAAACTGCTTCAAATTTTTCCACTTCAGTGTCCTGATTAAAACTGAGATAATAATAGCACCTGCCTCATAGGGTTTGTATAAGGAATAAGCAAATATGTACAACATCTAATGAAAATGTCTGACACCTATAAAAATTTCTATATTAAGAATTAAATGTTAGTAGTATAAAAAGAGCTCAATAAATTATAAGTGCTATTGTCAAGTTGTAGTGACTGGTTTCAGGTTACAAAATCAGGTCCCCTAACTTCTAATTCAGGACACTTCCTTCTGTATTATCTAGTAATTATTTTTTTAGCAATAGTATTTATTATTTTTTAATTACAAGTATTATACTTTAATATGAGATACAAAGATATATTCAATAGATAGACATTATAGATGCTTCTGACTTTAATTTGAGTAATTTGGACTCTCATTAGGCACACTATCTTCCTGATATGTTTATATAATTACTAGGTTTTAATTAAGGGGTTACTGAATGATATGGATTTTTTAATGCCATAAAGTGTTTAACATGAATTCTTAAGCAAGCTGGGCATGTAGTACATTTTGGGTGATACCTCTGAAGCTTTTCTCTCTTTAGGTGTTTCATGATTCATATCTCAAACCTCCCACACACTATAGATATCTACAGAGTCTAGATTTTAGAAAGGAGCAAAACCACTATTATATTCCATGTGGCAACTTCTGGCACTTTTATAAAGTGCAAGATGGATTGCAGTTGGTAACTTTAGATGAGGTGATCAGAGAAACCTCTCTGATGATGACATTTAATCTGATACCTAAATGATGAGAAAGGGCAAACCTGTGGCTTTTCTGGGGAGCACAGTAGTGATCTGGGGCAACTGTGTTCAAAAGTCTGAAACCAAGAGCTAATGTGGTATAATCAAACCAACCAACCAACCAACCAACCAACCAACCAACCAACCAACCAACCAACCAGCCAGCCAAAAACAGGAAGAAGGTTGACTTGCCTGAAACATAACGAACACAGAGGGAAACAGTAGACAATAAGGTTGTTGAGGTTGGGAGGGTTCGGTCATATAGATCCTGGTAAAACATGAAAAGGACCTTAGATTTTTCTCTAAGAACAATTAGAAAGTATTGGCATCTTATTCATGAAATAAATAATCATATGTAAGGTTTTGAATACTTACTATATTAATACTGTTTTGATATTTTACATGAATTAACTCTTTTAATACTTACAACAATGCTTTGAGATAACTGAGGCACAGATATATTGAGTAATTTTCCCAAAGCTATGTAGCTAAAACTGAGAGAGAGCCAGAATTTGAAGCTAGGAAGGTCTAGCTTCATAATCCTTGTTTATTCTGTTCAAGTCACAGCTTCCTTTTTATGACTGTGTGAATGTATCACACTAAGGAAAATGGAGAAACAGAATTTGTTTCTTCTCCTGAAAGGTAAGCACAACCATATTTCCCTGTAATTTAATTCAATTTGGTCTAACAATAACTTATTGATGTCTTACTCAGTACATGATACTGGCTAGAGTTCTAGGGTTCAGGAATGACTTTCCCCTTGATAAACTCACAGTTTAGCAAAAGGAGACAAATAAATAACATAAATATCTTTGATGTAAGCAAGGCTTTCTGGTACTTAATATAAATGTTCACCAATCAATATCCGGTCTTCTTTTATTTTATTTTATTTTATTTTTTTGTAGGCCCACTGTACTAAGCTAGACAATGTAACTAATTTTGCCCATGGATTCTGAACATGAACATTAAAAGGCCCTGCACAACCCTTCAGTTTCTTTTCCCTTCCAGAGATGCTTAAGAAAGCCTCATGTTTTCAAGCACAATTTGGAAGCAGCTTGGTCAACCAATGAAGTTATTGCTTGGAGAAGAGCTACCCATGGAAGTTACCAGACACATATTGGGTTTTCTTTAAGCAAGAAATAAACTTTGTTGGGTTAAACTGCTGAAATTTTAGGGTCTATTTATTGCCACAGCAATGCATAGACTACTCTGTGTGTTTTTTGTTATAAACAAAGTATATGTAAAGTACTCTGAGACACAAAGAAAGAAAAGGAAATTAATTCTGACTGGTAGATTAAAGATGTTTTCACAGAAGAGTTAACATTTTAACTATGCATAAAAATAAAAAAAAGACTTCAATAGTCAGAAGATTAGGGGATACAATTGGATAGTAATCAGAAAGGGTATCATGAAAAAATGTTTCAATTGAATAAACACAGCATTATGTGAAAGTAAAAAAAATACACTTGAAAGACAGGTTCTAAGGCCATGTGGCTGAAATATCTGGTAATTACTAAAGTGCTAGGCAGATGTGAGGCTAATGGTAGAGAGATGTGAATGAAAAGATAGATTAAAGGCCATTTGGTTTTTGATAAATCCGAGAGAATTACTTACATCACTGGCATATAAAGTTATATGTCTGGGGGAATCTGAAATTAATAAAATAGATATTCATTCTATGAATGTAAAGCAAAAGCATCAGAAGTGGAGATGGTCTTCATTTGATATAGTCAAGAATATAAAATTTGCACATCCAAACAGGAAAACTGTTGCCAGGAGCTCTGAAGAAGCTCATAGAACATCAGGTCTTAGTCATAAGTTCTAGTAATTTTTAAAGATTCCAATACTTTGTGTGTGTATATGCAGGTGGGGAGTGGAGCAAAAAGATTAGGAGGGACATACAAATGCAGTGGGCTTCTCAGCATGCACTTCTTGGGGAAACCAGGGAGTTGCCAGATGTTCATATTATTTTGAGATAAATTTTTTCGTTTAAAACCTGTGGATTCTATGCTTCACCTAGCTTGCAAAAGTATCTGTCACAAACTATACTGAAAATGTGTGATTATTTTTCCCCGTATGAGGACTTTGATTCTTTGTGAGAAATTAGTTTACTGCAAATATAGAATGACTTTGCAAAAGCATTTTGTTTAACTTAAGTACCAGAAGGTGATGCCCTTTACTGTTTTTTCAGTGAAAAGTCAAGGAGGGTTTAAGTAAATGTTTTCTTAATAAGTTGTATGGGGAATATGTAACTCTGCTCAGTGGAAAAATCTAAAAAGCAATTAGCAAAGGTACTGTTTGTTAAGAATGACATTTTCCTGGAAGTCTGTTGTTACTATCAGCATGAAAGTTTTCCTACTACTTATATCCCTCACTCCTGACTTAGAAATCAGTTAACACCAAGTAGCTTCTGATTTCATTTTATAAAGCTTTCTTTGTTAACATCTCCAGATAGTATATAGGGCTTTCCGTTGGCATCAAAATTTAATTAAGTATCGTCAGTTTGCCTTCACTTTGACTTTGATTATTTGAATTTCAATTGCCTTTAGGGAAAAAAATACGGAAGTATATTACTCACCATTTCACATCTGTTGCAGTTTAAAAGGCTTGGTTGCCAAGAATTTTATGAAGCATCACTTAGTAATGATTCAGGAAATGATTAGTCAATGCATCTTATGCTCAATGTGAAGGGCACCCTCTGTTGTCCATCTTGCTATGATATTGCCTTGATGTTTTTCAAGACATAGAATCAATCCGTGAATCTGCAATTTCTTTGTAAATGGACACTGGTAAATGATAAATAATACACATAAGAGAATCCTTCAACATTCTAGTCAAAGTGTTCAGGCATAGAGATAGAGTCCAAAAAATAGATCCTGATGCTGACAATGAAAACAAAAACAAACTGGCTTCATTCTCAACTTCTGCCAGTTAGCTGGGACTTCGAATGTCACTTGATGTTTCTGTGCATCGGTTTTCTCCTTTGGAAAATGAGGATGTTAATGTACACTTGCAAAAAGTTTATTTTTGCTGTTGTTATTTAAATCTGAAGTGCAAATGAAGTTTCAAATTTTTCTTTTTTTTCTTTGCAGATTTAAGATGCAATTATTATTGCGACTCTCTCTTATAAAAAGTCCATGGAATGGATGACTGTATCTCGGTACATTTAGGTCTTTTGATGATATGTCAAGAAAACTGATATGTCAAGAAGTTTGCTTCTTTAAACTTTCTCCTTATATGACTCCGATAATCTTATTACCTCTCCTAAACGTCTCTCACTCCTTTTCTGAAATTTGATATTTAGATCTTATTTATTATTATTTATCCATGTTTTGATTCTTGATGATTGTTAATGGTTTGTTCCTTAGACTTCTGCTATTTTTCTTAACAAATAGAATCACGCTTGAATATTTATTCTTGCTTTACAAAACTTTCAGTATCATATTTTTAGGTGGTTGCTATGCTGTTCCACACAGCATGTTAAAGTTAAATTCATTCTTATCCAAAAGCTATCTCAGGTTTAATCCCTTTAGCAAGATTACAGATGGGATTATGGCTTCTGGTTGTGGCCGTATAATATTTGGTTTGTTCATTGCAACTGGGTTGGCCATCATTTCTAGCTCTTTTCAATGGACAGAGTTAATGTTCTCAGACTTAATTTTTTTTTAGTGGACAGAGTTAATACATTATATATATGTTTGTGTATATATAAATATACATTTTATATATATATATATATATATACACACTACATATGTTACATATGTATATGTTAAAGATAAAATACCTAATGAACCCATACTGACACTTCCTATACAAATTGTGGAGTACAGGATTTTTATTTAATTTGTTTTACATTATGTCTGTATCCCTTCTCTTTAACACTGAGAAATCCAGTTCTCAAGGACACATGGGATAATAGAATTAGAATATCCCCAAATTTCTCATTTCCTTTATTCCCAATCACAAGCATAATTGTCTGTGGATAACAATTCTGAAACAATTACCGCTAATATTAATCAGAAAAACAATTGTTTTTTCATTTGTTCTCTTCATTCTCATCTTTTAAAAAAAAATAACTGTCCTATAGCTACTTATAGCATTACATACCATAACCTCTCTATTTTAGCCCCCATTTAGTATTAGTTCTACAAGTAATTATATATTTAATGCTCACCACTAGCTTTATGTCAATGCCTTTCTAGTCACTTTGGTTGTTTTAAGTTTGTTCCCTGGTAGTTATCTCCAGAAGGCCTCATGGAAACAATATTTCTAGAATTCTTGCATGTTGATAACATTGTAAGTTTGCCCTTTCTTTTCTTATTTTTTTTGAAATAGAGTCTCTCTCTGTCACCCCAAGTAGTGTGCAGTGGTCATCACAGATCACTGCAACCTCAAACTCCTGGCCTCAAGAGATCCTCTTGCCTTAGCCTCCTGGATAGTTGGGACTACAGGCAAGTGCTAAGATGCCTGGCTAATTTTTCTATTTTTAGTAGATAGGAGATGTATTGCTTTTGCTTAGGCTGGTCTGAACTCAAGAAATCCTCCTTCCTCGGCCCCCCTGAGTGCTAGGATTACAAGTGTGAGCTACCACACTTGACCATACCCTTTATTCTTGAAAGTCCCTTTATTAGATATGAGATCCTTGACTTACATTTTTACTCTTGATTTATTTTAAAGGTGTTAATCCGTTGACTTCATAAAGTGTTGTTGAAGAAAAATCTAATCATAATCCAATTTTCTTTTCCCTATAATTCACTTGCCCAAAGAAGTTTATCTGATTTTTAAGCCCAGTAAAATTTAAAAACATGTCTTGGAGTTGGTCATTTTAGGTTGACATAAATCAGATACATAATATGCTTTTTCAATATAAAGTTTCAAATTTTTGTAATATTTCGGATTTTTATTAAATTACAGAATTCAGGATTTTTTGTTCTCTTTAGATTTTCTTATTCAGTATCTCCTATTATGTATATATTTAGTTTTCTTTGCTTGTCTTCAATATTTGTCACTTTTTCTTGGTCCTTTTTGTAGCCTTCTTCTTTCCAATTAAATTTCTTTTCACCTTTAGTTTTTCTTAAAGCTTTATTTATTATGTTTATTTCCTCTAATAAATTCCTTCTAATTTAGACTTCATTTCTGAAAATTTTTTCTTTTGTTTCTATTTATGTTCTGAGTTTTCTCTCTCATTTTTAAGTTTTTATAATTCTGAATTTATTTTAGTTCTTTCATATCTTGCATTATTTTCTTAATTACTTTTAGCTTTCTTTGAAATGGTTGGTCACAGTTTTGATATGTTTTGTGGATTCATCTTTCTGTTATGCATTCATTGTGTACAGGGAGGTTATTCTGCTCTCCTGTTTTCTTCTTATAACTTTGTATGAGATTCGACATTGAAATTCTTATGTTGCTTATTCTTATGTAAATTTTTTTTGAATTTTAGAAGAAAGTGTGGCTCAGAACACCTTTACTAATTAAACATATTTTCCCCTTTTTCCCCCCTAAAAGTGTTAAAAATATGATGTCTTGCTTTCTGAGATTCCTGGTTCTGTTCTTCCTCTATACTGATCTGCCCCTTTTCTTCTTTTGTCTTTATTCTCCATGACTTGCTCTAATGTAATTCTACTCTACAACATTTTTTTTTTTAAATTTGGGCCTCTGTGGGTTGGGCTTTGGATGACTGATATCAAGAGTTCATATGATATAATCTGTTCCAGTTCCTTCAGACATTGCCATGGGACTCTTGCACTCACCCATTACTAGAGTGGACACGATCCTCCCGATTCCAGCAATCATTTTTAAATTAGCCAATTGTGATTTTCAGTGAATGTCAACTGGCTATTGTATTTCTCTGGAAAACCTTGACTCCAGAGAAACAGAACTAATAGGATGTGTGTGTGTGTGTGTGTGTGTGTGCGCATACCCATCTCTTCCATTTTTGATAATGTTATTTTTAAAAACTATTTACAATTTACAGAAGGCTTCCGCAAAAAAATTTAAAATGTTAAAATAGTGATATAAAATTATTTAAATAGATTTTTAGCTTTCTTTTTCACCTACAATTTTAACAGTCTCGCCATCAATGCCTTGGTTTCTTCAAAATCATTTGAGCATTTTTCAAAATCGTAATGCAGACGTAAACTTATAGGTTGGAAATGAACTATGACAAATAGATAATTATATACAGATATATACACTCAGGCAAAGCAGTTCTTCAATTTTCTCAAATATATCAGTAACCTTTGAGAAACTTGTCTTTAAAGATCTGTGAGAATCAGTGCGAGGGCTCATGAAATGAAACCATTTTGGCCAATGATTTTAGTTGAGGAAGTGTAAAGGAATTTCCCCCTTTACTTTCTATACCTAGCAAATCATGTAATTCTATTTATTTTCTATACCTAGTAAACTATATATTTTAAATTAAAGATAGATAAAATTTTTTTAAAAGAAAGATATTTAATGTATTAAATGGATTTTTATTTAGATGTATTTTTAGCAGGAGAGTGCATATATTTTAAAATTTTTAGCTGCATAATGTTCCTCCTCTATTTTTCATCTTTCATTGAGTAGGAGGGTTTGAGAAGGATGCATATGGAAAAATAAAAGAAAGGTACCGGGTCCCCCAGTTAGATTAGCCAGGTGTTCTAGGGAAAG